TTCCAAAAACTGTGTGCTGTGCCGCTCAACCAGTAGAGAAAGGGGAAATTATAGTCGAGAGTCAAGTGGGCCAATGACGGCATGCATAGAAATCTGCTGTGAGACAGGTGCGCCAATGAGGTCACTCAGCCGCCACGCTAAAGAGTCGCTTGCTGATGTCACCTCTTACAGGGGTCATTTTCATCTTCTCCGCAACAGGAAAGGGAAAAAGGGAAAACGGAGGCCCTGAGAGGAAGATGCAGGATGCTACCGTACACCGTCATATCTCGCCTCAGCACCGTTTCGCCTCTGCTATACGCTGCACGTCCAGGGAGCACTAGCATCATGAGCAGACCAGAGCGGCGGCCTGCAGAGACTATCCTTAACTCACAAGGCTAGAGATATCACCGACATTCCATGCCATTTGCGTCATTGGCCAACCAGGGACAGCCATACGAAAAGGCTGCGTTCAAGTCTCGACGTCAATCTCTTTGATTGTTCCTTGCCTGACGTTGCTTGTCACAGACGTCAAAAACTCTCTTAGAGCCTCATTTTATGCCCCACAAGCTTGTGCTGCCAAACAGCTTCTTGGCCTTGCTTTTGGGCCAAACAGAAGCCTGTGATCTCGAGGTCTGGACGGCACTCTCAAATCTCAGCCCCTTGGACCCCTTACAGCAGAGTCGATACATACTCAAAAAGGGCATCTCCTAAAGCTGTCGCCTCTGATCAGCCGACGTGACACGTGATGACGACACTGCATTTCCAGCTTTGTTTGTCGATACGAAAATCATCAATGCCACCTACGAAAGAACCTCTGTCACTTGGGGAGATTCTTTCGCCGTTCTAAACCCTGGCCCATCGATGTTTTCCTAGCTTGAATGGGCCCTGGCCCTCGTCTAGAGCCCGCACCGCATCCTTGCTTTTGATGTTTGTTTTGACGTCGTTTGAGAAGATGACATAAGGTTCTACGTGATGCAAGATGGCTCCGCTCCAGGTTGTTGATCTGAGATAACCCCTGACGAAACAGTCTGGAATAGCAGCCCTTGTACGTTTCGATGTTAGCCCGCTGGCTTGATCAAGTTCTCGAGCTATCAATTGCAACTGGTTTAGACTGTGCGCATAGCAGTGGCCACAAGAATCGCAAAGGGAAGTCATTCACATGAGATTGGTGGCCGCCAACGTCGGGAGTTCCCTCGAAATCCTCTACCAATCCCTCCCACCTCCTCAATAAGGAGTAATCAACTACGCAATCTCAACAACCAACAATTTGATATCACTTCTGCCTGTCGATTCTCACTTTGGTGAGTTGCTTACGATCCGCGGTCAAAGCGACGGTGGAGTGGTTGCCTTGCGGCGAAGTTTTTGCATCATATTACAGCGCCTCTCAGGGTATGACGTTTTGAGCCGCACCACCACCCCTGGGGTCTTTTCTTCCCGACAGAGCTTCTTCTTTATCCCCTGTCGACGGTAGAAGGACAAGGGATATGACACCGTGGTCTCGACTCGGTTGCTTTTACTACGTGATCTCAGCTGCCATTGCCTTGAGGGTTGCCCATCCTAGTCATGCAACCTAAGACGGGTCGTATCGAACAGAGTCAACAACGCATCGTTACCATACACAGTCATTGAACAAGATCTCGATAACATTATCTCTATTCGGATATTTGTCTTCGGGCCGTTTTACTAGGTTGGTGACGCTATAGGGTATGACAAGTCAGTGTGTAGCATCGAGATCAAGTACCATAACGGCTGTTGTCATAGGGGGTATTATAACGAAGATCTCGATGAATAGATGTAGCGAGTTTCTTGGCATCTTCATTATGCCCACAGGGACTGGCAATGCTAGAGTAACAAAACGTCAACGCCTCCTCATCAGCGTCAGGCCACGAGAGGAAATGACGACAATTGAAATTGACGAGTGAGGAAATCACGATCATGGCGTGCGATTTTGTTCGGTGATCTTATCGAGATTAATAGCTCCATGGCGAAGTATTGCTCCTCTTGGCTCAATCTATCATCCATCACATTATAACGTATTTCGTGTCTCTAACTAGATATTCGCTGAAGAGTTCACGATAGTTGGTCAAATTTGCTGGCCTAAAGGGAACTAAAGCTATGCTGCAAGACGAGCTATGCACTGCTTATCGCAGCTGCATGATTGAATCAAAAGCTGTAGGTTAAAAGTGTGTATATGGTGATGTTGTTGATAGGTGATAGATGTTATGAGTTGGAACCAAGAAGGTGGTGGGAACTTGGTACGCCTAACCTAGACCATTGATAATAGATAGCTCACTTCTGAGATTCAGAAACTGAGGTAATGGCAATCTAATAGTTCTTAGAGTTTTAAGATACATATATCTATTAAAGAAAGAGAAGAAGAAAACAGCACCATGATACAATAGCCAACACTGAATCGCGAATTGTTTTATTGCTATTCTTTGTCTGTTGATTTAAAGTTGTTGGCATGAAGTGGGCCACGATGCCAAGTTTCTCTGTTCAGCGGCAAGGGAGGGTCCTTGGCTTTGACCTTCATTGGCTTGGCTGTGCACCAGCTGTCAACCGATCCGAACTTAGAGCATGCAGGGTCTATCTAGCATTAGATCTATCTGATGAAGAACTCTTGTTCTCACTTTCTGTAATTGTCAAAGTTCTGTGAAGGTTATGGCGCTCTATACATGTTTCAATTGGTAACTACCTAGGTACTCTCACTCAAAATGATAGAAACTATGCTAATTATGTAATTACCAGAGCTTCAAAGCGACACATGTAAATTGTCTGGTTGTCATGATAATTAAACTCAATAGTTTCGGCCTCTAATAGAACCCGTCGCCGAGTTATCTAATCCACTGACAAAGCCAAAGCCACAGCGCATTTAAGTCTCCGAACCACAGGCGGCAGAGGGGAGGGCCAGCGTTAAGCAATGCGATTGGTCAGTCGTCTCCAATTATGGGCCCATCGACCGTTCCACACCAGCTATGCAACATCTGCCGCGCCCGGGGCATTTGGTCTTTTCTAATCTAAACAGGGGCAGACATAGAAATGCAATGCCCTTTCAACCTTATTGCTTTTCCACAAGGGGCTTGTGCGCGCGGTAACTGGTAATTATTGGTTTCTAATCCGCTGAGAAAGCAAGGGATGGAGGGTCCTTGGATTGCATTGTGTATATAGGTAGAGAGGTACGGCATGTTTGGAATCAAGCATCTTCACTCACATTACGACTACGTTCAAGCAGTATTACAATCGTACTACCCTGACTACTAATACTCTACGATAAGTACTCAACTATTACCGCAATGACAGACGTCAAGACCATCGTGGTCCTCGGTGCAGGCCCTGCCGCCCTTCCCGTGATCCGTCAAACAATGGTCAACCAAGTCATGAAGCGCAAAGATCTCAAGATGGTCGTGGTTTCGCCCAATACTCACTTCCACTGGCCTGTCGCCATGCCTCGTGTCGTTGTTCCCGGCCAAATACCCGACGACAAGGTTATCATCCCCTTGGAACCTACCTTCAGCACTTACCCTACCGACAAGTTTGAGTGGATTCAGGGCAAGGCTATCTCTCTTGACACCACTTCCAGCCTTGTTAGTGTTGAGCTTAACAGCAGTGCTACTGTTCGCGAGGTCAACTACCACACTCTGATTATTGCTACTGGCTCGAGAACGAGGGATGGCCTGATCTGGAAGGATATCGGTTCTACTGAGGCCACCAAGGCCAAGTTGCACGAGATCCAGGATCAGATCAGCAAGGCCAAGACTATTGTTGTTTCTGGTGGTGGTCTCACCGGCTCCGAGACTGCCGGTGAACTCGGCTTTGAGTACTCTCAGCACGGAACCAAGGAGGTCATCTTCATCTTTTCGGACGATCTTCCTCTTGCACCCCCCGCGACAGATGGAGTTCGCAAGCAGGCTGTCAAGGAGCTCAAGAAGCTCAAGGTCAAGATAATGCCCAAGACAACTGTCGTCAGTGCAACACCATCGGGATCAGATACCATCCTCGAGGTGCGCTCTGCCGACGGAACGACCAAGAAGATCACCGCAAATGCTTATCTCCCTGCTACTGGCAATATTCCCAACACCGAATTCGTTCCCAAGAACCTTCTCGGCAGCAACGGCTACGTCAAGCAGACCAACCATCTCAAAGTTGAGGGCCACAAGAACATCTTCGTAATCGGAGACGCCGGCAACCTTGAGAACTCACAGCTAGGCATGGCAGACAAACAGGCACAGCATCTTTTCAAGAACCTCCCCGCTCATCTCGATGGCGGCGAAATTCCCGTGTATACGCCTGCCGATAAGCCAATGTTTGCTGTAACCCTTGGCCGAAGCCGAGCGACTGGTCAAATGGGCACCATGAAGCTGTTTAGCATCATGATCTGGTGGATGAAGGGACGGTATCTGGGTACTGATTATGCTGATGGTTGGGCGGCTGGCAAGAGGACTATGATGACAGTTTTTGAGAAGTAGGGTTGCTGCTTGAGATGCTGAGATGTTCTAGTATTTGTTTAGTGTTGAGATTCCCCTGTGTTTTTATCTTCCTATAGATTTCTTATTTAATTAATAATAACACAAACAAAATGTAGCTCATATATGGATTGCCAGTGGTGAAGTCTATTCAGTCAACGATCGCTGAGGCTCAAAGCGCTGTCTATGGAGCCGATGTTATTCGTAGAGCAGGGTATGACAGACCTGGAGTACTCAGATAGATACAGAGGTATCGTTTTTGGCTTCCCAAAGAGAAGAAAGTACTTAGAAATATGTAACGGAATAAGTTATGTTCAGTGAGTGGTTATGTTCAGACAGGGGGCCAATGCAACCATCTTCGGCTTAAATTGCCCCGTCACACAATTCGTCAGCAGCAACAACAACATCTGAACCTCACTCACTGCTTCATCATCTCATTCGACAGAGCGATCTATCCCGTCATACTTATAGACCCAGCTCCAGTGTAAACCAATTGAACTATACGCTCATTTTCTTTATAGTCTCGGCGTTCGCTTTGATCGCCGCTCATTAATCAAGATGTCGTTCTTATTGAATATGATCTATGGCAAATTCACCACAATACCACCGCAAGAGCAAGATTGCACAGGCAAAGTAATCATCATCACTGGCGGAAACGGCGGTATTTAAATACATACGCCACTAATTACTTAGTCACTGACCATTTCCAAGGTATTGCTCTCGAGGCAGCGCGACACTTTACCCAATTCAACGCTGCCAGAGTAATCCTCGCATGTCGCAGTCTTGGAAAGGGTGAACACGCAAAGAAAGATATTGAAGAGACAACAGGAAAACAAAATGTCGTCGAGGTCTGGCATCTAGATCTTGCATCGCATGACAGTGTTCGCGAGTTTGCAGATCGGGTCAATAAGTTAGATCGAGTAGATGTCTTGATCAACAATGCAGGTCTTCTTGTCTTTAGGCGTGAGGTTATCGAGGGTCATGAGTCCATGCTGAGCATCAATGTCATCTCGACGGCCCTACTTACGCTTCTTGTTCTCCCTGCTTTAAGACAGACGTCAACCAGGTTCAACATTATCCCACATATTGTGATTGTGTCTTCTGACGCTGCATTTGAGGTGAGTCCTCCTTGAATGACTATGAGCCTGTATTGACTATACAAGGGTGGCCTTCCTGTAAAAGAGCCAAACATCATCCAAGCTCTTGATGAGCAACCAAGTGTCCTTGAACACTACAGCAAAACAAAGCTCGTTCAACTCATATTCATGACCCAGCTCGCCAAAGCTATTGAAGCATCTGGAAAAGGCTATATCATTGTCAACGGCGTGCATCCCGGCTTCTGTAGCACACCACTCTTCGATAACACTCCCTGGCCATTCAATCTTATATTCAAAGGCCTCCTTGCACTTTTTGGACGAACTCCAGAGGTGGGATCCCGTGCTTTACTGGCTGGAGCGTTTGTAGACGAAAGTTTGAACGGAAAATTTATGTCTAATGGCGCTTTTCATGAACTGCCCAAGATTATGCAGGGAGATGAAGGAGAGAAGATGTGTAGAAGGGTCTGGGAGGAGTTGGGTGGGATTTTGGAGGAGATTGAACCTGAAGTAACAAAGAAAATATAGGATCAGAATTAACCGCTGGCTGGAGGGAATCTGGGCAGCTCAATATGTGGCATATGAGCTAGGTATCTCACATAAATGAAGTGGAATGGTCCCATGAATGTGCATTCGCTTTTCGGCAGCTGTTAGGCTTCTAGGCTGCGGTACTTATAGGTAAGGTATGAAGTCAGTAGTAATGATTTAATATAAAAGACTTGTTAATACTGTGATTTCCCTTATGTTGGTAGGTTATGGCGACTGGATTTGTCCAAGTTGGTGGACCTGGGCAGTCTTATTCAACGCGGAACAAATCCGCGCTACAGTGAGTCCCCACCAAAGTCAACACCAAGGAAGGCCATCGACTCCGCGACAGCTCAAGCTTCCATTTACATCCACCAAAGTTTATGCGCCGACGCTGGGAGAGCAAATCCCCGCCACTATAATATAATTATTTTCGAATTTCTTGGTATACTGACGCCCAATTGAATAGACGGGCGCACTTTCTGAAGGATCACCTTATGGACGCGATCCAAAGCTCCTTTGTTCATCGATCCATCTCGCGACCAACCGTTTAACCATCGATTCGAATATCCATTCCATTCCCTTCGCCATGGACTCTCGCGCAGCAGCCGCAGAAGCGATGCGCTCGGCCATAGAATATTGGTCTCAATTTGTCGCACGCTCTATTTCTCAACGTCTCGATACGGAGAAGTTTGAGAATTATGTTCGACTCGTCCATGATCAACACCCTCTCCCTCCCGCCCTCGTCGCCGATTTCTTCCTTCGCCCCCAACCATCAAATGATAATAGTCTCGACCCTCGAATCCCTCCATATTTACAAGTGCTCACAAGACTCGGCTACGTCGATGCGCCATCAATACTAAAAGCGTTGTACAAATACTCGTCCTTACATGCGTATGCACAACAACCGAACGCCAATGAGGGCAAGGAAAACGAAAAGGAGAATGAAAAAGGCGATGATAAAGAGAAGGATGAAAAGAAACAGAAGATTACTCGTTGGAAGAGCTCTTACTGGGCTGAAGAGGTGCTTTTCTACGGGATTACCAAATCCGTAGTAGAAGGCAAAGCCATACGAGATTCAAAAACGGCATTGGATATGACAAGGATCATTTCCAAATTGATGGTCCTTTTCACGACTGCATTTGCGGCCGATATGATTGAGCAATTGCACACAGCCCAGGTACGGGATGAAATGGAGTCGTCGAGAGCAGCTCTGGTCGCACTCCTACTACGGATGTGCGAGAATGACATCCTCGTCGGAGCTGTGAGCAAACCAATTGCCAAAGGTAACACGATTCCGCCTCAAATCTACTCATGCTGACTAGGACAGACGTTCGGAAAGAAATGTCTGCTAGCTTGGCAAGCTTTGTGCCAACGTTACAGCTCGTGCCGCAAATAACAGACAAGCTCGAGCAGTTCCGAACGGACATCCTTGCCAGCTCTGATCCCGCCGATAAGAAGAAGCAAGCTACTAATGCTGCTATGGACGAGCTTCTTGATTCAGCTGTTGGCCTGGACAATTTTGTTGTGGCAGATATTCCAGTCAGCAACACTCGGGCAGGACTGTATATCTATCTAAACGCTGCGGTAAGTTTGATGTCTCTAGGTCAATGACTAGACTAACTTGTTAGCTTATTGCACGCCCTCTTTTGGATGACCATGCTTTGTTTTCGTACATGAGCAATAAGTATCAAGGGGACATCCAATCAAGTGCTATCGACCTAATTCTCGCATCTTTTGATATCTTGGCCAACGCGGTTTTCCGCAATGAGGGACAGAAAGACGCCCACCTTCTAAGATCATTCTTGATCAACAAAGTCCCTATACTTCTCTATCAACTGTTACCCCCTGGCTTCCCTGGCACATCGGCTGAATTCTGTATTACAGAGGCACTAAGTCACGTAGACACAAGCCTGTTTCCTACAGCATCACTCATGTTTGACGAGTCTCGAAACAATAATCCTTATACTGAAAGTATCAGAGAAGAGTTTTGCGCCGCGTGTGTGCTGCATGGTCTTGTGCAAAGAGAGCACGTGGAGAGGATTTTGGGAGAAATATCGCTTTCCTATGAACCATCTTTACAGAAGCATTCCAAAGATAAGCTTGTGCAAGACTGTTTGTCTGATACGGAAAAGATTCAGGGGCTCGTTCGGGAACTCGACAAGATGGACGGCAATGTCGGTGCAGTTTGTCAGGCACTTGTTGAGGTAAGTGACTTCATTCGTCGCCTATTTGCTTCTAACAATCATAGGTACTACGGCAATCATGCCACAATAAGGAAACAATGTCGTTGAAAGTATTATGTAGCCAACTTGCTGCAAAACCACAGTCACTAGACGTCATTCTTCTGTTTGAGAAGCTTCCGAACATCCTTGAACCCCTGTGTCAGCTTCTTGATAACTGGCGTTACGAAGATGACCAAGAAGAGTATCAGCCTGTGTACGAGGAGTTTGGTGCCGTTCTACTGCTTGTTTTGGCTTTCACCTACCGATATAACCTAAACGCAGTGGAAATTGGCATCGCCAGCCCTGACTCTTGGGTCGCTAAGATTATTGGCAGGGGACATATTGGAAGGCAATGCAATGAGCTCACTCAAAGGGAAAACGACCACCTAAACGGGTGGATCCATGGACTTTTCGATACTGAGGCCGGTGGTCTCGGTGATGAGTTGATGTCATCTTGTCCCCCGCAAGAGTTTTATCTTGTCGTGGCACCTCTATTCCAGAGCATTGTCGTTGCATACACGCATGGCTATCTCAACGACGAAAGCCTCAAAGGAGGCATAGAATGTGAGTGCCATTGCCAATAAGGTGATTAATGCTGACGAAACAGACCTGGTGGATACCTTCTTATTGCCATCTCTTGTCCCGGCGATCCGATTCCTGGCAGACTATCTCTGGATCGACCAAAAAGAACAAAAGTCCATCATCAAGATTCTGCAACTCATCCTCCTCCCAAGCTCCATCTCGGGAGAAGCAAGCTCAATGCTGTCATCCGTCAAAAATCTCATTGCAAAGCCTTTGGAGCATGCATTACGAACATACCAACGTCGGGATCCCAACAATCAAGATATTGAACCTCTTTTGCGTACTCTCAAGGATAGTATCCCCTTGTCACGTCGGACAGGAGGAACCGACCTCAATGAGCTTGAGTCTTGGACTATTACACCTCCTACTGGTCTCTCTAGTGCCATAAAACTTACTATCCAAGGTCTTGTCCACTGGAGCATTCATCCCGCTATGAACAGTATGCCGACGTCTTATACCCATCGTCAAATCTTGGCTGCTCTGAAGATAATGGGCCCCAAACGAGTATTGCACGTCATCTTGGAGGAGATTCGACAACACACAGAGGCTGGAAGTGCCAGTATTGTCTACGACGTGGCTATCGCGTTGATCTGTGCACCTGATGCTGCGAAAGATGCCCCTACAGTTGTCGATGCAAACGGAAATATGCTTCCACCGGTCCAGCGTCAGCGGAGTCTTCGTGACCTTCTCAAAGTCGAAGCTGAAGGATGTAGGAAACTCCAGAAGAAGGACCCAGCACTCGCTGAGATCGTTGTACGTCTACATCGTCGTGTCGAAGCACAGATGATCATCCCTCAGCCTCCAGGAATGCTTCAAACTGCGGAGATGTCTCTTAACCTCGATGGTGACACCGCTGCACTTGGAGATGCCATGGCTGCTGCAGCTTCAGGTGTTCAGGGTGACAATATGTCAGTTGATAACTTGACTCTTGATGTCAGTATGGGTGGTGTACCATCTGATCTGGGACTTGGATCTGCCAACGACGGAGGCAGCTTGGATCCTTCAGGGGATGCTGCCATGTTTGAAGGATTCGATACTCAGGATATGGATAACTTTGATTGGGATGACATTAGTAACTCGTTTCAGTAAGACGAGAGGCGTCTGATATCATGGGCAGGCGTATGGCACGGGTATGAATAGACGTATGTTGCTTCAATACTGGTTCAGTGACTGTTTTACCAGGTGCACAAAGTGGTTGGCCTGTCTGTTTTCAGGATAACTCGTGGTTTCGAGAACTTGGAGCTCAATAGCGCGTCCCCACCCAGCAATTGCCAAGAGACGAATCTCGATGATCACTGGTTCCGTGGTCTAGTTGGTTATGGCATCTCGTTAACACCGAGAAGGTCCCCGGTTCGATCCCGGGCGGAACCACATTTTTGCTTGTTCTATCTGTCATTTTATATCAAGCGAAAAATGAGACATTAGGAGGAGTACGGAAGTGCAAAAAGGAAGTGGATCAGCTTCGTCAATCGACCACGCCAGGAGTCGAACCTGGAATCTCTAGAGGGATCAGTTGCTGAGGACCGAAATCTAGCGCCTTAGCCATTAGGCCACGCGGCCTGATCTTGTTGATGTCTGAGTCGGTTCTGTTACGATGCTCATGGTCCACACGAGAAGGTCAGTATCCAGGAGAGAGCCAATTTGACCGTAGATACTGCTCGGGCATAACTAGAGAAAAGACACAGATGACATGGAATAAATATCTTTTCTTCCGTTCTGTTGAAGAGCAGGTTTCTCCATATCCTGTAGTTCTCTGACATTAACAGTTCTACCATCATCAGTCGTTCATATCTGCAAAGTCATGTATTCAGCCCGCTCATCGAACTATGGCTCACCACGAAATTGCTTCATAATTCCAGTAGCACTCCAAAACATAGAAATCATTGCCAAAACAACAGTCATGGGAACAGATGCGCTTTGTATGTCATCGGGATGTCTACTCATCCACCATCCCCACAACACAAAGGGGGGACCGAGAATAAGCAAGTGGTATATAATAACATGAAAGCACGAGATGCAATGCCGGGCCTCGAGCCCCCAAATAGGGATATCAATGGTTCCTGGTGAAAGTGGCGTCTTTTTCTTCGGAATTCTCTTTATGTAAGTCATTTCTTCAAACTCGTAGCAGTCGTGAAAAGGAGAGGGGTTTCGGCATTTGCCACCAGTGCAGCTGTTGAATGCAGCTTCAAAGATGTGTGGGTGAACAGGTGGTATTGACGCTTGAGGTGGCTTTGGCGTATAATCGTAGTCCAAGTCGCTAGCCTTTGGCAGGTCTTGACCACAAGCGACAACAATGTTGCGGGCAATGCTTTCGAACTAATAACTATTAATGTATATTACCAGAACATGGTCTCGATGGGTAGTGGTGGGTCAATTTGAGGCATTTGACATATGAGAGCGTAGATTTATATGCACCCACCTTAACGAAATTGCAGTGACTAAGCTGCCAGAAAGAGAACCAGGCTCTCCATCGGCCTCGCATTCTTCTATACTCAGCCTTCAGTTGTGGAAAGACGTTGCTGTCTGGTTGATGGACCGGGGTCGAAGTCACATGTAGCGTTTTAAGCCCCATGGGTACTCCAAATTGGATCCTCAGATCATCAATAGTCACAGGCGGGATGTTGTTCTGCTCTGTAGTAGCCACCCCTCGTTGGATGTGGTTATTGCCGCCCACAACATACGGTTGTTGACTGCCTTGGGATACTGGCGTCGAGATAGGCAATAGGGCTCCAGAGTTCCATTTGAACCTTGCTGTGAACCTTTGGAAGATATTTCGCCTTTTATGAGTCAATTTGTGAGGGTCTTCAGCCAATGCGGTAGGGTTCTTGGCTAATCTCTTGATGATTTGTGCTTGAGAAGGAGTAATATCGATCCAAAGCGGCTTGTTGCAAAGCTATTTTTGGTCAGGTGGTTACATAGAAAGTCTTACATGCTTTAGTAACTCACACATGCCCAGTTCATTCGCACAAAGCCCGTTTGCAAAGGTACTTCCGGCGGTTTGAGTGGCCGCCAATCCCAGGGACTGCCGGTCAGCTCTTCCACAGAAGTCTTGATTTTATCAGAAAGTGAGGCTTCAGCCGGAGTATCGATCAGTTGAATGGTATCCCAAGCAGCTAACTGCATGACTTGTCTGAGAGTGTCAGGCAATAATGAGAGTCCAAGACGGACTAAGAACGCCTGGAAAGGAGGACCTTTGATGAGAAATTCTTCTGCGACTTGGACTGCCTGGAATTCTTCAGAACCGCTCTCTATTTCTTCCCCAATACCGTCGTCGCTTTCTGTCAGCTTGATACCATCAGTCTCAGCCGCTGGCTGCTGAGGCTTCTCATCTGGTCTTGCAGACAGTTCCGTTTTTAATATCCAATTGTTGAGATAAGCTCGATCTTTTCGAAAGCTTGGGCGTATTTCTTCTTCTTCGTTGCTGTTCCCTGGAGGCGAGGATTTTGACTCGCCATAGACAGTTCTTTTTGAGATTCTAGTCCTTGAACCTCGCCCCTTGAGCATTCGAGTTGTCAAAACCTGGATTTCGATGTGCTTTTCCTCGTGATCTTTGAGTTTAAGATACAAAAGCTTGAGTGATCTTCGAATATTGCGCTCGAGCTTCTCCTTTGGCATAGGTGCTAATGACATATCAATGATAAAACGGAGATCCGGATGCCGGGAAAGCAAGTCGCCAATTTGGCGCTCGGCGGCGATGATACCTGGAGTTCGCGCAATGCTGCTGTTGTTTGACTGAATATCTTCGTCAATTGACTGAATTGAGCCAACTTCGTTAATGACCGCGCTGTTGCACATCGCACCGTCTTTAGGAGATTCAACCTCTATACCTTCTGGAAGCTCGATTGAAGTCACATCCGTAGAATTTAGACTATTAATACTCTCTGTGTTTATGTCCCGCTTGACCGAGGTTATTGTTGTGAAGCCTATCGTCCTGGAGTCGCTTCCGGGAATGAGCATCAGTATTTGTCTACTAAGCTCTGGGTAGTCTGGAAGGAAGCAACTCGAGAGGTATTTTCGAGAGCTTTCAGACACTTCCAAGTTATCCAGATCCTTTTCACAGACTCCTGCAAATACCCTGAACACAAAATCAGCATCAGATGGGCTAGAATCGGACACGTTAGGCAGTGCAAAATTGTCAGCACAGATTGCCCATAATGGAAAAGGAACCCATTCATATGTTTCGCCATCAGATTTGAGTTCTAGTAAAGCTCTGGAATCAAGGATATATGGGGCCCTCTCTAATATCATACTGAAAACACGTTCGAACATGGCCTGTTGGAAAGTCGGTACCCAATGGGCCAGCATGAGGAACTTGAACCAAATTGGAACTTTCCACGTCCTCAATTTCTTGTCCAGAAGTTCGACATGGTCTCCTGCCCTGGCCCCATTTTCAAGCATGAGAATGGATATCTCATTTATCAGATTGATGTCTATCTTGTCGAGCCTCAGGGGTGAATCGGACAATGTGTTAGGAACATAGGTATTCACAAAGGACACCCAGGGTGTCTCCCCTGCATGGTGAAACTTGTTTGGCTTATGCCCAAGAGCAAGGATTGATTTAAATAGCGATATATCAACAGAATCTGAGCTGAGATGCGCTGGATGAAGGTTATGTGGTGCTGCTCCAAGCGCAGAACAAAGAGGTGATCGGTAGTTCTGTGAATATTTGTTGTCAAAATATCCTGGATCAACCCAGAGTTTATTCGCGATGTATCTCCGTATACCAGATTCAATCACAAGATGACGGTAAATGCCTCTTGTCATAGATAAATCTGATATGTTGAATTGATTCCTCGCAGTCATAGACAGCAGACATTCTTCAATGTTGTCAAGTAGTGCCCAGGCTATGTCAACAGTATTTCCCTTTTGATTGCAACTTCTTGCATATTCCAGACACTCCCTCAAGCTGGAAACAAGGTCTTCAATATCTTTCATAGGGTCGTGTTCTTATAGCTTCTTTCGGTGCAGATGCTCTTCGTATGGATGAAGCCATCGCTTATACAGCTTCTTGAGTGGATCTGAAACCGATAGTGCAGCATCGTCGCTATATCCCAAGTCTTTGACAACATCCAGATGTTTCGTGCTTGCATACGTTTTGAAAGCCTCCTCGGATGTTGACAGCCTTTGTCATCCAGTAAACGTCGACTGGCTGGTTGAATGTGTCTTGAAAATCGGGCAAGGTACTTCCCAATCTCTTATGGAACTTTGAAAGACTATTGACATATGCTAGACTGATCGCTGCCGGCTCGGGCTGTAAGTCGACGAATTCGCCGCTCCTGAAAGATTTTCGCCTGAGCCAAGAAACTGATGCTTTGAAGACCGAGAGATCACAATCGAACCCTTTCCGAACTTTGGTAAGTAAGTAGTTATGGAACTCTTCAGAATGTATCAATTCTAAGACAGCTCGATGCACGAAGACAACTTGTCCATCGACGACTTCCAAGAGTCCTCCTCACGTCTGTATGATGTCACGATAAATCTGGTGATGTAGTTCTTTTGTCTTCTCGTCATGGGTCGATAAAAGGTCTTTTGGTGTCATAAAAGCGAACATATCATTGGCAAAGTCGAAGTTGTGAAAGTAGAGGATTTCGGCAGCGAGGTACCCTTTTGCTTCGCGAGCGATTGTCAGATACTCAGTAGCTTTTCCACAAGACTGGAAGTTCGAGTATTCTGTCACAATATTTGCTAGGCCTGGTAGGTTGTTGGGGATGTCTGTAACATTCTCTGTTCCGTTGTAGGCATCAAGCACGCGAGGCGGATGCTCAAGGAGAAAACGAGTGACCAAAACAGCCCACAGGAAGTCCCCCTGTGCTTGAGCACTGAGGGACTCAATATCAAGATCCTTGTACTTCGAACGGGCCATATAGCTTTCACATGGCTTCCCTTCAGGTGAAAAGTGATGTATCTGCTGATATCGCTTCGATTGACCTCTTCCATAGATAGTTTGGCTTCAGAGGAAATATTGAATGAACCATCAAACACAGCCAATGGTCTGCTGGAGACCATGATTTTGACATGGGGCAGAGATGATATATCTTCTATCAGTCGACACAGCTTAGCATGATTTCCTTCGTACTTATCCAGCCCATCGATACAGAAATAAATATTAACTGGAACTTTGTTCCTTATTATGGAGCTTAATATGTCTCCTAATTTGAAAGTTGCCAGCAGGGTGCTTAATGCTGAGCTAAGACTCAACGATGAATTCTTCAAGAGACTTGGCTTTGCACTGAGAATTCCAAATACGAGGGATCTCGGAAGTCCCTCAAACGATCTCTGGATTGATAGACCTGTAGCATCAAATTAGTGATTGACAATCAATAGTTCCCTATGCCCAGCCCATTTTTGCAGTAAATTTCGGGTATCCTGGTGTTCGGCAACAAATTTCATCAATGTCGATTTCCCTGAACATGATTTTCCTGTGACCCAGAAAAGGCTGTGATCTGAAGTGAGCCAGCGACGCAACGAATATTGAGTATGGATGGCGTCGTCTGTTTGTTCTTGAAAGACCCAGGAGAACGTTCCCTCGAGAGCTTTCGAGATCCTACCCTGGCGAAGTGTTCTCTCGCTATGGTTGAGGGCGCCTAACATTGAAACTGCCGTCTGTAGTTGGTGAAGGTTGGATAATATGTGTTGCAATCTGTCACAGATTTCGTCCCAAGCCTCTGTTCCGCAAGAAATTTGGCCGAGTTGAGCGTCAACAAGGCCTGTAGACTTTGGAGCTCTTCGAAAGCCTCGCACGCACCCTAGAGAAATATTGAACCGGTTTTCCATGTCTTCCAATTGGTTATGCACATGGCATGTGATGTTGCTATCAATGTTAGTATGGATTAATACAATGAACACATGTTTGACTCATTTCGCCGAGTGGCGAGTACTTGGTCGAGTGTACTCATTGACCGCGCCTTGGAGACTCCTAAGATATGGAGGCACGAACAGCTGATCAACTAAACGCAGGAACTGTCCCCCTTGCCCGTCTTGAGTCCCTCTCTCGAGATCTGTCTTGGCAGCCTTAAAAAGAGTGTTACAGTCCCTTACACACGCCCTCGCACAATTTAGTATGTCAGTAAAGTTTTCGTCATCCGATGGGGGCTTTTCTTTCTGCAAGGAAAAGAGGCCATCGATCAGCTCCGACTGGATCGCAAGGAGTTGATCGTATATATACCGCAAGGGGGGACTTCCTGGCGGAACTTGAGCTGCTGAAGAGATAGCTATGAGATTTCCGACGAGGCCAGAATAGCGGAAAATTATGCTGGATATGAGAAGAACTTGTAAAGAGCTCATTTTTGTTATGTTGTAGATGTAAACTTGGGTGTTGAGGTGAGGTTGAAGAGTGCGAACAAGTCTTTCAGCTGGAGGTTCTAGATATCCTGTTGAGCAGGCTCAGCCGTGTAAGGCGCTTTCCAATAACAGCCCACGGTTTGTTTCCATGCGGAAACAGATGCTGATAACACCTTCTGTAATTCGTCAATTACATTTCAAGGCGGCAAGCCAGCCAATGCCCCGGCGAAGTGCATTCATAAGAAATGGACAGCAGTAAATAATTCTAACTAAAATCTATACAATAGCTTTGAAGAGTTATAGCCCAATAACAATCGCAGCGGCTGTAATGAACTTGGATCCTAAAACTTACGCTCTTGTCTTGTAATAAACAGGTGTTGTACGGATACAAGAGTCAGGTTCTTTGCATCTCAGTTTGTGTGTCTTATGCCTTTGCAAGGCAATGAACGAACTGCCAAGCGACCCTGTGCCATACTGACCACTCTCATCACATTGCGCAAACTGGGAAATCAGCCTCGCTAGCAAGCTATAGAAAGTGTCGTCATTCTTCCAAAGAAGGCATTTTTGTCTGGCTTACTGCAGCGCCTGGGGCTGAGCAAGAAGACGATATCAGCTGGGTGGTTAGAAGTCGGGTGGAACGCGGTCCCGTCGCTAACGGCTCTACGGCGAACCATAAAGCTCATTGTCTCAAATATGGAGCCCTTTCCAGCTTGACGTCTTCTATTCTACGTACGAGAATGAGAGACGCTCCGTCAAGTTCTGATATAGTCAAGCTCGTGGATTAGCGATATCGGCGCTCACGGAAAATGCAAGTACAAGCCTCGTCTCATACCTACTATTGTATGTTTCACTCTACCAACTTCCAAAATTTAGGCATTAATAAAGTGCCATGAGCTCTGTTTAGCTATGTCTCCATTTAGTAAAAATATTCGAGGCTCCTAAGACTGCTCGGTTTCGGCCGAGTCAAGTGGGCTGTAAGACGCCCGACCAGGCTGCAGATGAAGATGATGGCACCACAGACACCATTTTAGTTAGCACCAACACAGCCGAGGCAGTCTTGTAAGTGAGTCTCAAACAGATATAAAGGGCAACATCACGCCTAAATTTATACGCTACTGGCTCTCAATAATCACAATCCAACCGCAATGTCTCCTAAAGATCTTCTTACCAAATACTTCCCAAGACGGAAGAAGCAAAGAGGCACTGAAAAGTCAAAGCCAACACCTGACGAAGCTCTACCAAAACGCGCTTATACAGCTCCAGCACCTACACAGAAAACATCTACAAACAAGGCGGGCTCTGCTGGGCCTCCATGGGGAAGATACCATGTCCCAGCTACCACTGATGGTGGAAATTATCCCGTTGGAAACATGTATGGAGGAGTCTCGGATGACACAGTTGGCAACAGTCACGGTCATGGGCACAGGGATAGAGGGCATTGGGGATGGGGGGGAGTAGAAGATGGATCAGGCAGCGGCGGTCACAGCTATGGGGGCCATGGAGGCAGCAGCAGCGGAGGAGGATGCAGTGATTCGGGCGGAGGAAGCGGAGGAGGAGATAGTGGTGGAAGTAGTGGTGGTGGAGGAGACGGAGGAGGTGGAGGAGGTGATTAGGCTGCCTACTTTGTACTCTTTTCTAATTTGTTATGGTGTTTGTGAGAGCATGGAGTTTTGTTCGTTGGTAGTTGGTTGTTGGTTGTTAGCATCATGGAGCGTTGGCATAGGATTTAAATGAAGAGTGGATCGATCCAGTAATCTTGACATCCGACCAACAATGCATTGACCTCACATATAAGAGATCTCGTTCTCAACATAATTCCCTCTTTTTTCTTCAGTGTCAGCCGTCCTCCTTATTCCTTAATTACTCGTAACCATGCGATTCCCAATCTTCACGTCCATAGTCTTCACTTTCGCAACTCACTCAGCTACCGCTCTCAAGCCATGGAACAGCACGATTCCTGAATCCATTGATGAAGAATGTCGCCAAGCTCTAACGTCAGACATTGACTGCCCTTTCTTCCTCGGTCGAGGTTCGATAGAGAAGGGACATTATTTGAAGGACCCAGTAGCAGCAGCAGCATACTGTTCATCGTCATGCCGCTCTTCTCTTAGGCAATACTTTTTCAATTATTCGAGGGCGTGCTACAAATCAGACCTTCCTGAAGGTCTTCCAGGGCCGGACGAAACAGTAGATTACGTGATGTCGATCTTCGGGACACAGGAGTATCTTTGTGTTGCCGACGAGTCAGTGGCCAGCTTATCCCAACAATCAACCATGTGCTCATCAAGCTGACTTTCTTGCAGGGACGGGCTTTGTCTCAGAGCATTTTACAAAAAGGAGCGGGATTTTTGTTCGGAATGCGGACTCAAGCTGGCGGGTATAAGCGCCATACTCAACCTTAAGAAGCCATTAAACATCGACTCGGATAAGTTCATGTGTTTGCAAAAGAATTGTGCAAAGGATGAAAATGGTTTCTTGGCCAAAGATGATGGAAAAGCAAAGTTGGAGAAATTCTTCAAAGAATTAATGGATTAATATTCTAGAGGCATCCAATCTCTACGGCTCACGAATGTTGCACCTCATTTTCTCGTTTTGTTTGAGTGGATGGGATGTTAGAGATTGCCAATTGAGGTAATCAATCTATACTGTACTTATTCCCGATTGGCGGCGTCACATTCTCAAGCCCTTCACACCGTGGAAGTACCTGCTCATTCACTCCAACTCTTGGCGCAATGAAGCTTCGAACGGCCCATTTCAAGGATGAAAATGCACAAAATTGTAGCATAAGTTGAACCAGTTCGTCATCAAACGCGCCTGAGCCTTGTTCCTCTTCATTGATGAGACCAAAAAAAGAAAAAAGAAGCAAAGAGTTGTGCAAGGTTTGTCGACGTTTCATTCGACTTACACCGAACATCCTCATACGTCATTGGCCAATCCCCCACATTTAGCGTATCAAAGTAACTTTCCAGCCAAAACGCGACGCGTCCATCTGATTTCACCTATTCAACAGCTGCGATAGCTTCAAAAGAAAATGGCATCCGTGCATACTGGCGGCCCATCAGGCTCCGGCGCCGGCGCTGGCTCCCATCATCATGCCGACAACGACAACCAAAGCGTTGCCAGCGACTTAAGCACATTGGACTTCAAGAGGGGGGACTTCTCGATTGATCTCTTGAATCTCCTTGAGGCTATCAACTCCGAGGGAAGTTTTGCATTCAATGCAAAATTGGATATACCTTCTAGTTTCGACATCTCTGTGAATGATGTTGGGGCTATCTCCCTGCCGCTTGGTGAAGCTCAAGCGCGTCAAATTATCAAACAGGCACGCCAGGCACCTTATGGTAAAGGAAGCGAGACCATTGTCGACACTGCAGTGCGAAATACATGGGAACTAGACCCAACACAATTCACAATTAATTGGTTGAGATGGCCCGCCCTTCTCCAACAAGTGTGCCAGATGGTAACTGAGAAGATGGGAATCAATACGCCTATTCGTGCCGAGCTCTACAAAATGCTGCTTTACGAGTAAGGTGCCATGTTCAAGGCACACACTGAGTTTGTCTCTATGCTTCCATGGTTACAGAACCAACTAATAATGTCATCAGCACCGAAAAGATCCCAGGCATGTTTGGTACACTCGTCGTCAATCTGCCATCACCGCACACTGGTGGCGATGTGGTTCTCAAGCACTGTGGTGAGAAGGTCAAGTACAGCTCCTCCAAGCAAGAGGCTTCCTGTGCTGCCTGGTACTCGGATGTGCATCACGAGGTCCTACCCGTCACCTCGGGCTATCGCTGGGTTTTGACCTACAACCTTGCTATTGATCAGTCTTTGCCGCGTCCATCTGCTGCTCTCAAGCGATCTGAGCTCCGGCCACTCCGCCATTGCATCAGACGATGGCTTGCACGCGATCCATCGTCCCGGAAGAACCCATTTATATATCATATATTGGACCACGAATATACTGAAGACAGTATTTCTTTCCGGGCACTGAAAGGACCAGACATAGCCAGGGTCACAGCTCTTCGACAAGCCTGTAAAGGACTACCTGTCACAATCTTTCTCACATTACTCGAGAGGGAGGACAGAGGTAATGTGGAATTCGATCCCTCAGACCTACAGTACAACTATCGTGGTGCCATGGGGGAGTACGATGACGAGTATGACGGAGGATACCATTGCCTCGAGGAGGTTCTCGAATCAGAATACAGGCTCATGACGGTTAGAGATTTACAGGGTAAAATTGTTGCTGGGCAGATGGCCATTGACGAGGAGAATATCACCGACCCTGATGTATTCAGTGATATGTGTCCTGTTAAGGAAGATTACGAAGGATACATGGGTAACTATGTATACATCCAAATTGGATCTTTGCCAACCTCCTTTTACTAACTTGTGTGATCCAGGGTCCCCAGGCAACTCAATGGTATCGTCTAGGAGTATGTATCGTTCTTTACTCTACTTTCGTCGCCCAGTATTTCTAATTACTCGAACAGGCTGTGGCTCTCGTTCCTCACGAGTCGCTTGTCGATTTCTTCACTCAGTCTGACTCTTCTTATTATGGTGCAACACACCAGAAATTTCCTCAAGCGCCGATTAACTACCTGGCCCAGCAATGTTTACAGAAAAATGTGCAAGAACACATGCTTACTGCACTGCTGGATCTTGTTGAGCCAGGGCTGCTTCACATGGAGAGCGGAGAGACTGAGTTGGAGGACGAGTCTGTGTTGTCAAATGTCGTCAATGCCGCCCTATTGCATCGGCAGTATCAGCTCGTCAATGAAGTTATCGCGAAGCTGTTCAAAATCTTGCCATCAAACGTGTTTACTGCGCTTAGGCAGTGGATGGTCAAGTCTGACGGGGAAGAAAAGGCTATGGAGAGGTTCAGCAAGGTCAAAGGAGGGTATGTTTTCATCAACGCATTATTTGATCCCTTGTTAACGTATAATAGGCTATCCCTTGCTTTGACTAAGCCTTATAATCTAAGACTCAAGTTTCAGGCTATCTCTCACTTGGTTCCTCTACCTCGTGACTTGGCCGCCGATGCTCTCCCAACGCCTGCGCCCATCATGAACTGGACTCGTGAAATGTTGCACACCTCTGTTAAAGGTGAAGGCCCTAGGGATGTCACGAGACATGATGGATCCTCTATAGTTTCTATGTCGCTATACTTCGACGACCCCATCCTGTTCCTGACGGAGCGGTGAGTTCTTTCAACCCCGTGATTGGACCTATGATGCTGACGAACGCAAAGTGTTGTGCCCATTTTTGAGAAGAGGCTTGCGGCCCCTGCATTTCGTTTTAGGGTTTTATCTCAATTAATGAACTTGAGCACCAACGGCAAGCTTCCTCGTGAAGAAGGGATAGGCCTCTATCGAACTATGGCACGGCTTTTGATCACTTCACAGAACTTTACTTTGCTGCGGGATGAAAAATCTGTTGAAGAGGAGGCAAAGAGAACCCGAGTCTCCTGGGTCACTATACAGCCCCAACCCAAACGTGATACAGGGGCTGCAATCTCCTGTGAGATCTTGAAGGACTTCTTCTCCAAGCTTTGCAAAGTCAGCACAGAGTTGGATGATCTCAAGAATCAATTCTTGACCAAAGTCACATTACAGGCCAGCAAGCTCCCAGAATTGGAGCTCTACCGGCTCTGGCTGCCTTTCCTGCGTTCAGTCATTCCGCTTTTTCATGAAAATTCGATACCCCTTAGCACACAGTCATGTCAGAAGTTCTTCTCAGCTGTTGTCAAGGCCGTACTTGATGTTTGCCTTGGTCCGCAGCCTGCTAGACCTACAGACTGGTCCCTCTCCAGCGTACCGTGTAACTGCGGAGACTGCGAGCGGGTGAACGATTTTCTCAACCACCCAACACAAATGACTGGGAGGTTCTCGATGAACAAAAGCCGGCGTCAGCATATCCACCGACAAGTGGACAGCGCAGGTATAGGGTGCAAACACGAAACACAACGGAATACAAACCCCAATACGTTGGTCATAACCAAGAAAACTCGGCCCCTGGACGTGGAGCGGCAGCACTGGCAGAAAGTAAGAGTCTATCTTGTTGAAAAGTTCAGCCAATTCAAAGGGAGCGAGCTCAAGACGCTGCTCGGCTCGGACTTCGAAAAGATTGAGAAACTCTGCACTGGGGAGACTAGTCAGGCAAGTTTGTCTCGCCGACCAGCCGCGGGAGAAAAGCGCAGAATTGAGCAGGCAGCGGAGGTGATTGACTTGACAAGTGACTAGTTAATGGTCTACTCACTGCTTCTGCTTGTGGTAAAGTCGTGATCAACTCTTTATTTTCGGCTTCTCAAGTATATGCGACTACAAACGTGGGTGATACGGGTCGTGTCTGCTTTCCCACATAAGAAATGAAGATAGGAGGCCAACCTGGTATTCACGAGTGAGTGATATACAATTCATTGCTTGTATTTGCGTTTGGCAACGCGGGTGCAATCTCTCATTGTAACAGCTTGCCTGACTAGAGGATGGAGGCTAAACAAGCATGGTCACTTGAAAAAGAAAGCATGACATTGGGCGTACAGGTATCAGAAGCACGGAGGATTATGCAAGTCTGGCAATATGTTTTCAAGCTACAGGTGTTCCAAATAAGAACTACCATGTGAGGCAGTTAGATACAGGATAACGCCATCTACACACTTTTGTTTGTGTCATGATGGTAGCGGATACCTTTCGAGTAGTGTCACTAAGGTTGGTTGTAATGGTTCAGAAGATCGATATAGCCTATTTAATGGGAAGAGTGTAAGAGGTTCCAACATTGGAAGTTTGTTTATGGTTCAACAATGATGAAAGGTATACTTTGAGCCTGTAGTGACACCGCAATCTGCAAACTTAGGTACATGCGCAACATATAATAAACTGACTGAGGTGCATATCGTTCGGGACCTGGTCAAATGCCATCAACTTATCGAACCAACCTCGGTTGACTATGACAACACAGTTCTTATCTTTGAGACTACAGATGTCAGAGGTTCAGTGAAGCTATCTACAAAGTACCAGATGAAAATTCTTGGCTAGAGTTAGGCAACCTTCAGTCCCCTCCGGAAGTGTCCATGATATGAAGTCAAATAAGTAACTGGATGGTTTCTGTCTATCAAAATAATGTCGATAATTAACAACGATGCTGTCAGAGTCACTCAAGCGGAGTCTTCTGTACATCGTGAAAGATCCTAAGAAGCTTCTCCAAGACATCGCGTCGTGGCTTATAACCAAGATGTTTTCCCTCCCCTCGATCACCGTCTGTTGTTACGAGATTTACAAACTCATCTGCCGTACTAACTTCGGACCGCCCGAGGTGCTGAATCGTGGTTACCAATGTTCTGGCTGCAGTCATCTCCAGGCCCTTGAGTCTATTAGTACCGCCGGTCGTGGCTGCGATGATCTTATTCGGAGTTGTAAGCACGTTGAATGCCAATCGTCGCAACATCTCGTCAGATGACAAGTACTCTGGCGTATTAGAGATGCTTGAGACATGTCCCGTTTCGTCCAAAGGAGGTCCGGACTCTGCAGCTTGGCTAGCAAATTCGAATGTTACTAGGAGTCTTCGGTGAAGGGGAATCTCAAAGTCGATCAGTATCCCCTCTGCTTCCATCACAGAGCGGAAAACTGAGATTAACTTTTGTATTTTCGAGGACTCAGTGCTGTGAGCAAATATCATTAGATCAATGTTCGACAGTATAGCATTATTCTGAAGCGCGGAAGAGCCATAGATAATGGCTACAAAGTCATTGTTGTCGAATAAATCATAGAGCTTTTGAGTGAGCTTTCTTTCAGCTCTTTTTAGACGATTTGTTGACGAGCCGGCAGTGTCTCCCATACATATGTACTGGCGATCTGTGAGAAGAAACAGTCCCAAGTATTCGATTCTGTCCAGCAAGCCTCTCACATTATCCATGGTTGACTTGGGGTTCCCATTCAAGGTACGTAGAACAAAGACCGTCTTGCCAGGTTCGATGAAACTACCATGCGGGCAATTTTGAAGAGGGAACCCATAGATATAGTAGACACGTTCTCGGTGGATTATATCTTGGATGTGGAGATTCAGCTGGTTGACTTTCTCCAAATCTGCGTCTGAGAGACGAATGTTGTGTTCAAGACAATATCGCTGCACACTTGCGGGGACGTATATAAACATGCAGGAGTTGATGTCGGTTCCGCCCAAAAGTACGAGGCTTGGTCGGTGCTGAACCTCCAACTGGATCGCGTTTGTGAGTTCTAGTCTGTCATCAATCATCCGGCCCATGCTTTTCTTTCCATGCCTCTTTATCGAGGACCAAATCTTCAATGAGTTAAAAGCTCTAGATCCAGCGAAAGGGCCAGCCGCTCCAAATGACCACTGCGCGTTGGAGGTTAAGTCTGAGTCGGTCGACAGGGAGGCTTGGGTACTGGGCTCGCGAAACAGGACCAAAGAGCAGTCATAGGGAATGGGCATTGCTTGCTGGGGGTCAACTGCGATCGAGTCTGCTTTTTCGATGCCTCGCAGCTTATGGTGATGTCGTTCTGAAAAGGCAAGTTGGCTGCCGTGACAGGCGTCAACATGGAACCAGATATCTTTCTCTTGGAGGATCTGCGATAGACCATGTAAATCGTCGATCCTCAAGTACGTTGGATCACCTGCATATGCAGCACAGGCCATGACGGTGCTCTCCATATTCTCTTCTTGGTCAATAATCCTTTTTAAAGCTTCTTGATCCATATGAAACTCGGCATCAACAGGAACAGGTATGATGTTCTTCTCTCCGAGTGATATCATCACCACGGCTGAGCGTATTGAGTGATTCTCTGCCATATCTGGTACTAACACACGGATCTTGCTCGGCAGCACTGGGATGCCAGTCCAGCGTGATCCGGGGAAACACTTTTCTCTCGCAGCCAAAAGCCCAACAGTATTTGAAAGACACCCCCCAGGCGTAAAGACTCCGCCGACGTCCATGGCTTTGGTGTAGGATTCAGGTACAGGATAGCCAAGTGCCTCACGTAACCAGTGTATGACTTCCATCTCAACAAAGGTCGCTTTTGGTGGGCAAGTCTCTGGGTTCGTCATATTTTGGTTCAGAAGTGGTATCAAGAGGGCTGCTCCAACTGCAGCAGGGCACGCAGTAACATCAGGAAATCCCAAAAAGGCTGGAGACCTCGATTTAGTACTCTTCGCAGTGATAGACATAAATTCATGGATATGTTGTTCGTCTGTGAGGCCGGACTCTGGCATGGAGTCGAAGCTGACTTGGCGTGGCACAAAGCTTTAGGCTTCTGGATGATTGGGTTTCTCGGTCTTGAAAAGGACGCCCTGTCGAGCGACCTCGTAAAAAAACCGTTTGGTACTGCCCTCACTTTCATCTCCGGTGATTCTAGAGCGTTCACCGAAAGGTGGGGGAGTATGACTTGTCAAGCTAGGCAAGTGAGTGGAAAACAAAGCTGATAACAAGAAGTTTGAACAGGGGGGTGAGTAGACCGTCGAGAGTTTGAGTGGTATTCTGCAGTGTTTTATACACGGCCTCTGGCTTTGGTTCGTAGGGGAAGCAGCGTGATCATCGGCTATTGCAAGCAAAGTCCATGGTAAGACAAGAGACATCTGCACCTGGTTGAGGCTCAACATCAAAGGGAGCAAATTGAGCCAAGTTTGTAAAAGAGTCATCTTTAACTGCCAACTTACACAACACGAGGGAGAACAAGACAACGTGTAACTGGTGTAGGGTTTGTCATAAGGCATTCATGGTTTTATCTTTTGCTTCTATGAACCATGACTTTGTCCTACAGCTTGTTTGGCTTTGTACTAGGCTGGCGATTCTATGAAGTCGTGATGAGGCTTCGTTGTGCTTGACTCAGCATATGACCAAAGATAGTTGGAAAGTCCGAGCTCCTCTAACTCTTTTTTGTATGGGGTGAAGATAGGAGGTGGTCATAGAATCTGCTGACTTCAAGCTTGTGGAACATAACATTTGCTTTGGTTCACATATGATAAACTATAGCATGACATTGCCAAAGTGGCTTCACACACTTAATGTAGCCACAGCCTGTAAGAGCATAATCCATATTCATAAGATCAATACGTATTCAAAAGATGCAAAGTGAGGCTCTGCCACTGAGAGACTCATTGTAGATTACATAGAAAAGTTGATAAGTCCTAGTTAGCCTCTCTGTGTTATCAGAAATAAGAAAACCGATCTCTAGTGCGTGCGGCAAGATCAGTTGATGAACAATACTGTGTGCTCGGATAGTCTCATGTCAGTGTGACTGGCAATGCAGTGTCTTCAATGACAGCGCTTAGACAGAAAAGCAAACATGCGATTAGCCCACAAACTCGTGTTCCTCACCTAAGACAGCAAACAAACTATATTAGAATAAACACAAAGTCATGTTTGTATATCTTGAGCTGGAGTGCCTTATGATAAGTCAAGCCTGTACACCAGATACAGAGACAATATTAGGACGTCTTGATCGTCGGAACACGGCAGATGAAAACAACGACTATGGGACCAAGGGCTTCCTCCGATTGGCGAATCGTATGTTGCCTCTTGTCGCGACTAGGCTAGTTAAAGTAGGTATCGCAAATCATACAGGGTTGATTCATATCTAAGCGCCTGGACCTAAAGTATCTTTCCAGGGCCTTTACTTAATAAGTACCTACGGAGTACCACGCCGCAGCATTCATTTCATTCCTTCTGTTGGGCGGCAGTTGGTTTCTGAATTTCACTCGCTTTCTTCCTTCTTCATGTTTCTTTTCCCATTTTCTACCTACCTATTGATGACTTCATTAATTACCTAGACTTTGGCCTCTGGCTGCCTAACAATACCTACTGTATAGACTAATCACCTAAGGACAGGCTCCTTGACACTCTCTTTATCTGGATACAGGCTCATCGCACTCACCATTCGCTCACTATTTCCACATTCCAGTTGCTCAATCATTAAAATCCCCTCGTCAACTGCTTCAAAAGAAGCTTCTACAACTCGGTTATTGCGCCCCACGAAACAAATGGCGAAGCTATTATCTGAACTGACACCTTCATTCCCGCCGAGCTTCGTAGCGCCAAAACGATATCGATGGGCAGCGGGAGTCATTTCTGTCATATTTTTGTTCTACTTCTTCTTGAATAATGGGTTCCTTTACCAGAAGCCATTGAAATACCATGGCTCCATAGAGGTCGATTGGTCGCGCTTCGCCTATACCCAATATGTCACCAACAGCGACTATCTCTGTAACTCAGTCATGCTCTTTGAGTCATTGCACCGTTTTTCCAGTCGCGCCGATCGAGTGATGATGTATCCTTCCCACATGTTCGAGGCGAATAACGGCAGCTCTGTGGATACCCAATTGCTCATCAAAGCTCGCGATGAATATCGAGTCAAGCTCGTTCCCATTACAGTTCAGCACAAGGATAATAAAGACGGTAAGCGAATACTCTTATCACATCTTTGAGGTGTAGTTCTTGTACAGGAACCCGGCTGACTAGTCTCATCCTTAGATACCTGGGCTGATTCATACACAAAGCTCCTCGCTTTTAATCAGACTCAATACAGCCGCGTGCTCTCTATCGATTCTGATTCCACGCTGTTGCAAGACATGGATGAACTATTCCTTTCGCCCCCAGCGCCAGTAGCTATGCCAAGGGCCTACTGGCTGTTTCCTGAGAAGGAGATCCTCTCATCCCAGGTGATACTTATCCAACCTTCTGAAAAGGAATTTGCTCGCATTATGGCCAAGGTGGATTCTGCCTCTGAGAACGACTTCGATATGGAGATTGTGAACTATCTGTATCGCGAGAGTGCCCTTGTCCTCCCACATCGTCCATATGATCTGTTAACGGGTGAGTTCCGTGCAGACAATCACAAGAGGTATCTCGGCTCTGATACTGAGCCTTGGGATCCCGCCGCTGTCTACAACGAAGCTAAACTCGTCCATTTTTCGGACTGGCCGGTTTCCAAGCCATGGATACAAACGGATGAGGAACTTCGCCTCCAATCACAACCCAATTGCACGACTTTGGCAGATGGCGCAGAGGACTGCGCGGCAAGGATAATATGGAACTCTTTCTACACAGATTTCAAACGAAAGCGCAAGGTAAATATCCGTCTCGGCTGTCTCCTGCTTGGTTGAGGGCTAACAAAATGTAGGAGATTTGCGGACTGGATGAGGTGATATTGCCCAAGGAAGAGTACGAGGAATGATCTCCCCTTCTTGCAAATGCAAGCTACTCAGTATCAGAGCAATGATTTATGGGACTAAAATTGGGTGTTAAACAGAGGAGTACATATTGATTGCTGTTTAGGAGTGGTTGGGTGTCACCCGGCATGTTGTGGAATGTGCATTTGATGAGATACCTATGTTATTTCGAGACGAATACGAGATGATTTGGCATGAGCAAAGCATTTGGTAAATATCAAGAGGAGACCTCCACGTGGTAATCTAAGATATCCCTGTTTCTGTTAAGAAAGTTGACGACTTCCTTTCAGCAATTGGCCATATTCACTTACACATGCGTTTGAATGATGTGCACGACAATCGGGCCAATCACGGATCTTAACGGCAGACCCATAGTTACCCGTTGACTGACGTTGTGGCTGCGTTACCCTACATCCGTTTATGTGCCTGTAACGCTTGGGGTTGTTCTTTGTGAGTACAAACATTGCGACAGTCAAGAATGTCTTATCAAGTATTAGATAAAGTTTGTTCGGGAGCAGTCTCCCAAATCAGGCAAGCAGGCAACTCGGCAGTTGCATTGGTGGCAGCTCACAAATATCCCCTATTCGTGTTTCTTTGGTATATCGAACTACACTCAACCATTTTTGTTCGACCAATGGACTTCTATCCTCTTTCACAAACGGCTCCTTCGTCAAGCGATGTTGTCCCTAAAGACTTGAGTGTTTCCTCTGGTTTATTTCCACCAATATAATCAATGTGTTCACAAGCCGCCTCCTCAGACTCCCTGTATAACTTGAAGTTGCGGCCTTGACAATCACATACGACCATACCTATCAGAGAACTCGGGATCCCGTCCGCTCTCCTAAGCTGATAAGGGGCGGATTAGTAGTTTAGTAGTTGGGTCGGTGACGACCAGCGAATCCCCGCTGTTGTATGTTTTCTCTTTTGCTGTTTATGTGAACTTTTTACTGAAGAGCAGGTAACAAAGTTGGATCGTTGGAGGGGAGTGCGTTGGGAAGCGATGGTGGGCTGAAATGAGTCACGAGTGGCGTGTATAGACTAAGATGATCGTTCTGAAATGCAATTTCGCTATGTCCGATGTATGCGTAGGCGGGCAAATAGAGCCAAAACGCCAAGTGTGAACACCGATTCGAGATCATCGAAAGACATCTGCCAGGATGCAACTCGCACAAGACCAACCGCTTGACAGATCTCAGTCTGCTGCAAAAGAATTGGTCTTGAACTCGATTATCCTCGTGGTCGAGATCCCCGTTGCAAAAAGTCCAACTCCTTCTTCTCCTTACCAGCAAACTTCTTCCTCTTCCTCTCAATCGCCCTATCGACCTGTCCTTTGCTCATGCCCTCGTATCTGTTGACAAGCAGTTGCTTCTTCTGCTCGCTCTTCTTCAGGTAGAAAGGCGTCTTGCCTTGCGCCACAAGCTCCTTCTCCTTCTGGCGATGCTCCTTCAGCAACCTCTCCTCTTCCTGTCTTCGCATGTTGGCCTTCTTGCGAGATTCCATGGATTGGAGTTGGCGCTTTAGATTGTCCTTCTCGTAAGAGTCTTTGGTCTTCTTGATCTGTGCGCGGAGATCGGCCATCTCCTTGTCGCGGTATTCGTCTAGGAATGCATAGGCTTTGCTGGCTTTTTCTTCGTCGACGCGGCCTACTAGGGGGTCGAAGCGAGGATCGCGATATTGGCGCCGGTTATCTGGGAGGATCTCTCGGCGGCGAGATACGGGTTTTTTGGAGGTTTGTTCTTGAGGGGCGTGTTTGGAAGAACGTTTGGGCTTGGGGTCGTCCTTTGATTTGGTGGATTTCCTGGGCGCTGGTGTTTCTGTTTTCGGGGCGTCTCCATCGGTAGATTTCTTCGATTTTGATTTGTGACCAGAAGATGGTAATGATGCTTGTGCTTTTGCGAGAGCTCCGAACGAGACCGATGAGAGGTCTATCTTTGGTGTGTTTTCCTCAGGCTGTGGTAGAGTCAGCAGTGGGTTTTCGAGGAGAGACGTTAATGAGCTAACCTCTGATTCATCTCCCGAACCTTCTCCAGATTCTTGATCTTCCTCGTCCTCGTCGTCATCGTCATCAGATGAGCCTCGAATACTCTCCTCCTCCACCTCATCATCATCATCATCGTCCTCACTTGAGGAACCTTGACTCTCTGGCTCTTCCATCCACTCATCCTCTCTCCTCGGTCGCACTCTTCTCTCCAGTCCAAATGACGATGGCGTTTTTCGCTTGAAAGCCATGATGTGCTGTTGTATGTAATTGAATAACCACTCTTCAATGTTTAATCATAGCGACGCCGGGAACTTTTTTATTTTCCACCTTTGATAAGCCCCACGAAGAAGTCTTATCTTAGCGCCCCGGTAGCTGAATACCCGCATTGAACGTACTATATACTGTGCTGGTCAAAACCTGGGAACCTCAAGATCAAGACATTTTAGAAGATGGAATATTATTGTCGCTACATATCAAGGACCAAGGCCTCAGGGTGTAAGAAGACTTCTGACGTTAAACTGAGGTGCTAAAAATAATTAGTCTAAGATCCTCTATATCTATACTAAATTACACTAAGTTTATATGAGGTTTTTTTTGTCACCTAGGATAAAGGTCCTAAGTTTTATTGCATCCCCTTGCAAGGCTCTGCAGTCCTAATTAGTCTCTTACAGCACTGTATCCAGTATATGGACAGTCTAAAAGTGCTGTTATGGCCCCTCTAGTTAATGATTTGCATACCTGAATGGATCTAGGCCCACCCCCTGCTGCCCCGCGATTTCGGCCGCTAAAGTTAAGAAAAGCCAATGTTTGTATCGCAAATCGTGTTCTTCTTTGATTAATGCGCCTCTCTTCCTCCTTTCCCCATGCTGGGCACCGCTCGCCGTCTGGTGAATAAGCGCAATATTTTATTCTCTTGTACATCCCGTACTCATAAATTCTTTGACTTTAGCTTTACTTTTCCATTGCCAGTCAACTCGACAGCACCCCAGACTTTACCATCACAGGATGCTTCTTTCCTTCTCCCAGCTTCAGCCATGACAGGATATAAAGAGCCCGCCGTGCCGAATGGGTCATCATTCAGGCCGATGAACATACCGGGCCTCACGTTGGCGCAACCGAGACAGGGTGATGCGCCCAAGAACGCCCCCAAAGGCCCCAAGAAGAAGAATAAAGCGGCTGCAGACGCAAAGTATGTTCAGAAGATCTATCTCATATATGCATAAGACTCCTGGAGGCATTCCAACGCTCCGAAGGACTTTGGAAATGTATAATCTATCAGTTGTGATTTCCGCCTGGAATAAGACTGATATCACCTGAGGATGCATCAAAAGCCTCTAAACTCATGGCATGTAGTCTTTCCATACCACGTCACTAACTCCTCTTAGAATCCCCAAAGGCCCCAGGGCAATGATCCAGGCTCCTCCAGCTCGACGCCGCTCTTCATCACCCAACAAGATCCCAAGCAAAGCCTCTGGGGGTGTTCCCAACCCCACGCCCCAATACATGGCCCAAGCGAACCTCAGCCCCGAACGACTCCCTCAGCCGCGTCGCATTCTTATTATAATGGACCTCAACGGTACTCTCCTCTATCGGCCCAACAAGCGCCGGCCCTTCGACTTCGTCGAGCGACCTCATGCAAAGACCTTCATGAAATATTGCCTCGACGCTTTCCATGTTGCGATTTGGTCCTCAGCCCGTCCTGAAAACGTCAACAAGATGGTTGAACAGCTCCTCACACCTGAGCAGCGTGAGCGGGTTCTTGTCGTATGGGGTCGTGATTCTTTTGGTCTCTCGGGGGATGATTATAACGCAAAGGTGCAAGTCTACAAACGCCTCACGACCGTGTGGACTAATCCGCGGGTCAGGGCTGCTCACCCACAAACTCATAAGGGAGGTCTTTGGGATCAGAGCAACACTATTTTGGTTGATGACTCGCTAGAGAAGGGCCGGAGTGAACCATTCAACACGCTTACACTTCCAGAGTTCTCCGGTCTGTCTACGGAAATGCCTAATGTCTTGCCGCAGGTTCACGATTACCTGAATGAACTGGCCTACCAGGCGGATATCAGCCGCTTTGTAAGACAGTCACCTTTCAAGCTCGATCCAGTCTACGTCTTGCCAGAGCATGCAGCCTAGTCAGGTTTGACCCTGTGCCAACGTGTGGAGCATCAGGAATAAGATGAATCACAGGATATCATAGACGGTTTAGATTCATTTAGAGATACCCGAGGCCCAAGACCTCATAGGATACAACTTCGTAAGGTGTTTATTATAGAATAAATGGCCATCGTCGAAGGTGACACAAGAAACTTCATCTCAAAAAAAAAAAACACCTTTCAATTGTCTATGAGTAACAGACAGCTCTTCGTTCTTTTGAGTACTACATAGGGAATTGCCAGCCGGCAGGGCCTTCATGAGGCACAGAATATCATAAACTCATTTACCCTCCCAACCATTTAACCATAAGCCATTATCATCATCGCTCTTGTTTTCTTTTTCCTTTTTTGAATTTGTTTATTTGAAGACCTTGCCGTCTGCAAGCTTGTACTCCTTGCCGTTGACGGTGATAGGCTTCTCCCAGCCCCAGGCATCCTCGACGAACTGTCGGTGCTCGGGGTTGGTGGGGTCAAGCTTCTCGAAGTTGTAGCTCTCCCAATCGGGGGCAACATCGAAGGCGGGGACGTGCTCCTGGCCGCGGATGACGAAAGCACCCTGGATGACGGAGTCGTTGTTCTCGCCGTAGACGGCAGCACATCCGAAGATGTACTTGCGGGAACCCTCAAGACGGTTGTTGAAGCCACCAATCAGGTTGTTGGACATGAAGGTGAGGGTAAGCTCCTCGTTGTACTTGTAGTCAACCTTCCAGATGGAGTACTCCTCGAAGTTCAAGTTGTCCCAGAAGTACTTCATGGCCTCGTTGTGATCCTTGATGTTGGAGTACTGGCGCTTCCACTCATCGAGAGGGAAAGCGGGGCGGCCGAGAGCCTCAAGAGGGTGCTTGGCCTTGGGAGCAGCAGGAGCCTCGTCAGCAGCCTCCGCGGCGGGGGCAGCCTCCTTCTTAGCCTCCTTCTTGGCCTCCTTCTTGGGCTGCTCAGGCTTCTTGGGGGGAGTGTTGGTAAGAGCGGGAGTCTCGAGGAGCTCAACCTTCTCAGCGACCTCAGCGAAGATGGGCTGAGCGCGGACAGTCTCGAACCATCGAGTGACGGCGGGGTTCTCCTCGCGCCACTGCTTGTCCAAGAAGTACTGGAAGCCACGGACAGCGATGCCAGCAGCGAAGAGGTCGGCAAGGGTGATGCGCTCGCCAACAAGGAAGGTGTTGCGGATGAGGTGCTCCTCGACAACGGAGAAAGCCTTCAGGGCAGCCTTGGAGGCATCATCGACGTTCTTCTTGTTGTAGGGAACGTCACCCTTGAGGGGACCGAACCAAGCGATGAGGCTGGGAAGGATCTCGGAGTTGAAGAAGGACATCCACTTCAGGATAGAAGCATAGCTTTAGATTGTTAGCACGAGAACTTCTTAAGGGCCGTAGATATCAACATACTCCTGCTTGGTCTTGCCGAGAAGAGTGGTCTTCTCGTTCTGGGAGGTGACTATAGCGGGGTTAGCAAAGATCCCGACAAAGCTGACAACGTAGACAAAGGTAAATTGGGTTGCAGGGTCAGAATTTAGACGATATCCACACAATAACTCTTGAAAAAGATATTTCAGACAGGGATAACTGTATAATAATGCTAGGTCATCACTCGCAAGGGAGGGGTAAGAAGAAAGAAAAGTGGTGCCAGATTAGGCACGCATCGCGCACAGCTTTACTTACTGTAGATGGCAATGGCAATGCACTCAGAGAGAGCGAAACCATCCTCGCCAATGAAGGCAGGGATCTTGCCGAGACCGTTGGCCTCGAGGTGCTCAACGGTAGCGTTGCCCTTCTCGGCCTCAACGATGTTGAGCTCGATGTCGTTGGCCTTAGCGACCGCGCGGATGGCGGTAGAACGGCAGTTGTTCTGGAAGAACCAAGACCAGTCAGTAACGACGCTCTTTGTTTGAAGTTGCAGCAAATTCAGATTCAATTTCAATGCTCGAGAGTATGTACCTCGCGGGTGAAGAGAGTTCCGAAAGCCATCTTGATTGCTTTGCTGAGGCAGCTGAGAACGAACAAGTTGACAGACAAAGAGACGAAGGAGGAATGAGGAGGAGAAAAAAGAGGGAGGGGAAGTTTTTTTCTAATAAGTGTGTTGCCCCGCGCTAGTGGGGTCCTGCCTTACTGCCCGAGCAACGAGCTGCAAAAGAAGTGGCTGTGATACAGTGTGGCTGGTGAGATATGTGGCGTACAGATAAGTCCAGGTATTCGAACACCCATCCTCTCCACGTGATCTCGCCGACTCAGCGAGCCCGTGATCGTTGAATTCCCGTCAAGTTTTTTGGACAGTCAGTGAACCTCGTGGTCCGATACGATACCGACGGGGCCATCCTCCGAATTGGCCATCATGTCGACATTTACACATAGCCTACGGCAGCTAAGATGCCAAGGCCAACTTTTCCGAGCACCATGGCCTCAGCCTGCCTTGCAAAGAGCGACTTTTCCCCTCGGTGTACGAAGCATCACCGGTGAAACATCTTCAACGATCGTCGAACCCAAGCCCGACCCTTTCGCCGTGATAGATTCGAGTTCGAAGATTTCTCTGCCATTCCAGGATGTCCAGCATGCGAGAGCCATCCCCATCTCGGCTTCCTACTTCTCTCGGGAACCTCAATTCAATGAGATGTACCTCCGAATCGCTCGTCTTCTCACCAAATACCACACTCTTCCGACACTACCCCCAAGCGCTGCTCCTCTCACAGCTTGGATAAAGCTCGATGAAATGCGATCGAAACTTGGTGAACCAATTAAGGCCTCCCACTACGCCAAGGTCATTCGAGTTGCCAAGCGCTTGAACCAGATTGAGACCTCACTCTTCCCTGAGGAAGTCCGGGTTGCTCTTGAGGATTTCAAGCGAGACATCAACCCTTTCATGAACGTACCTCATGAGGTGACAATCGACAAGTTTGGAAGAGCCGTCGGTGTCGGCAAGCGAAAGGAATCTACTGCCCGGGCTTGGGTTGTGGAGGGTACAGGAGAGGTACTGGTCAATGGCAAGACCCTCAGCCAAGCTTTCGGTCGTGTTCATGATCGTGAGAGTGCGGTCTGGGCTCTTCAGGCCACTGAGAGATTAGACAAGTACAATGTCTGGGCATTGGTGGAAGGTGGTGG